AGAGCCATGCTTAACTTCAAGATTTATGTTTTGAGAAAGATTTTTACTGAGACATAGAAACTTACAACTCATTCCCACAAATCTGGAATGCCTAAACGTTCATCCAAGTTTGGATTTCTTCCACAGGTTACTCAGTCATTAGATCTTGGTCCTTTTCAATCCTGACACCCTTCCTCATGACAACTTTGTATGACAGGCATGTGCATCATTCTTCATTCTCTGGTGACTGTCCTATTAATATACAGCATTAAGTAAATAACCAGACCACTGGTTTGAAAAGCAAACTAAAAAGGATTTAAAGACTTAGGAACCCATCTTAATTCAAATAAGATGTTAAGTCCTAGGGACTTCCCTGGCGGTCCAGTGGTTAAGAGTCTGCGCTTCCAATGCAGGGGGTGCGGGTTCAACCCCTGGTCAGGGAACTGAGATCCTGTATGCTGCACAGCCTGGCCAAAAATTAAAAAAAAAAAAAAGATGTTAAGTCCTATTTGCTCCAGGAGAAAAGGTGAGGTAAAACACTCATTGTGGAGGTGAAGGTGGGGTGATACTTCTATAACCAGAAGTTATAACAGCACCAGGAATGTTGAAGGCCAATTATACTGCAAAAACAAACTCATAGAGAAAGAGATCAGATTTGTGGTTACCAGAGGAGGGCGGGATCGGGGGGAGGAGGAGGAACTGGATGAAAGTAGTCAGAAGGTACAAATTTCCAGGTATAAGATAAATAAGTACTAGGAATGTAATGTACAACATAATAAATATAATTAACACTGCTGTATGTTATATATAAAAGAGAGTAAATCCTAAGAGGATCACAAGGAAAAAAAATTTTTTTTCTATTTCCTTAATTTTGTATCTATATGGAATGATGGATTTTCACTAAACTTATTGTGATAATCATTTCATGATGTATGTAAGTCAAGTCATTACGCTGTACACTTCAAACTTACACAGTGCTGTAAGTTGATTATATCTCAATAAAATTGGAAGAAAAAATAAACAAAAAAGATTTTCTCTGTATCATTGGTTTGGAGCGGTTTTATAACAATGTGCCTTTGTTTGTTTGTTTTTAGGCCACAGCACATGGCTTGTGGGATTTTAGTTCCCCAACCCGGGCGGCAGTGAGAGCACAGAGTCCTAACCACTTGATGGCCAGGGAATTCCCACAATGTGCCTTTGTGTAGTATTTTTCATCTACCTTTTGCTGGTGTTCATTGAACTTCTTGGATCTGTGAGCTTATATTTTTTATTAATTTTGGAAAGTTTTAGGACTTTACTTCTTCACGTACTTTTTCTGTCCCCCTTCCTCTCCTTTGGGGATTCTATTTCCTGCATATTAGGCCACATGAAATTGTCCCACAGCTCATTTATGCTTTTTTCTATTTTCAGTTGTTGGGGATTGGTTTTTCCTCTGTTCCATTTTCTTAGTTTCTACTGCTATGATTTAAACTACTGATGTTTTTCTTCTGCAATGTCTAGTCATTAATTCCATCTGGTGTATTTTTCATCTTTAGAATTTCATTTTGGGTACTTATATATATTCCATGTCTCTGCTCAACTTTTTTAACATATGCAGTGTAGCTTTAATAACTTTTTTAGCATCATTGTCTCCTAATTCTAATATCTGTGTCCATTCTGTGTTAGTTTCCATTGATTGATCATTATGGTTCATGTTTTCCTGCTTAAAAAAAAACAACACTCTTTTATTGAGATATAGTTCACATACCACACAATACACCATTTAAAGTGTACAGTTAGGACTTCCCTCGTGGCGCAGTGGTTAAGAATCTGCCTGCCAATGCAGGGGACATGGGTTCGATCCCTGGTCCAGGAAGATCCCACGTGCCGTGGAGCAACTAAGCCCGTGTGCCACAACTGCTGAGTCCGCGCTCTAGAGCCCACGAGCCACAATTACTGAGCCCGCGTGCCACAACTACTGAAGCCCACGCACCTAGAGCCCATGCTCCACAACAAGAGAAGCCACCGCAATGAGAAGCCCACGCACCACGACGAAATGCAGCCCTCGCTCGCTGCCGCTAGAGAAAACCCGCGCACATCAACAAAGACCCAATGCAGCCAAAAATAAAATAAATTCATTAAAAAAATAAAGTGTACAGTTAAATGGTTTTTTTAGTATACTTACAGAGTTCTGCAACCATTACCACACTCAGTTTCAGAACATTTTCAACACCCCAAAAAGCAATCCCATACCCCTTAGCAGTCATTGCCTTTTTTTCCCCAGTCACCTTCCTCCCCCACCCCACCAGACCTAGGCAACCACTAATCTACTTTGTCTCTATGGACTTGCCTATTCTGGACATTGTCTATAAATGGGATCATACAATATGCGGTCCTTTGTGACTGGCTCCTTTCACTTGACATACGTTTTTCAAGGTTATTCCATATTGTGGTATGTACCTCTTGCTCCTTTTTATGACTAATCATCTTTGTTTGGATAACAGACATTGTGAATTTTACCTTAGGTGCTAGGGTTTTATTATTAGTATTCCTATAAATCTTCCTGATCTTTGTACTGAGATAGTTAAGTTACTTGGAAACAATTTGATCTTTCAGGGTCTTCCTTCTATGATTTGTTAATTGGGTCTGTACTGGTACTTAGTGCAGGGCTAATTATTCCCCACAACCTTCCTGTGTATTCTATGCCCTGTGAATTGTTTTTCCAATTGACCTATGTGCCAGGCCTAGTTCTAATCCAGTTGGATGGTTCTTTCCCTGGACTTGGGTAGTTTCTTCATATGCATGCACTTATCAGTACTCTGCTGAATATTCAAGGGGGACTCTTTGCAGATCTCTTTGGTTCTCTCTCTGTGAAGCTCTCTCCTGATATTCTGTCCTTCGAACTCTAGCTGTCCTTGTCTCTCTGGATTATTTTAATTTAGGGAGGCCACCAGGCTCTACCTTCTCCCCTTTCTGCGCCACAGCATGAAAACTCTCCAAGTGGTAACTTGGGGCGGTTTGGGGCTCATCTTCTTTCCCATTTCTCAGGGATCACTGTCCTTCACTGTCTGATGTGTATGTCTTAAAAACCATTGTTTCATGTATTCTGCCTTCTGGGGGGGGGCAGTGGTTGGTTGTTTCATGTGAGAGGACAAATTTGGTCCCTGTTACTCCATCTTGACTAAAAGTGCATGAGCCAGGGGTTGTATTTGTGACACCACTTGGACAGTGGGACCAACAGAATTTGCCAATGACAAATAAGGAGAATCAATCATGATATATCTGCTGTTTGGCTCAAGTGACAAACTGGGTGTTATGGTGCCATTGGCTGAGATGAGGGAGACAGGAGGGTGGTTGAGCCAGGGAAATTTAAGAGATCTGTTTGGACGCATTAAATTTGAGATGCCTTATGAGACATCCACGTGAACACGTCAAACAGGCCATAGCATATGAGTCTGGTGTTCAGGAAAGAGGTCTAGGCTAGAGGCCTAAATTAGTGGATCTTCCAAATATTTGCAATAATTAAGGCTATGAGACAACATGAAGTCACCTAGGGAGAGAATACTGACTACAAAAGTAAGGCGGCCAGGATCATACCCAAGGACACCACAGTATCTGGAAATTGGATAAAGACGGAGGAGTAGCCAGAGATATAGGAGAAAACAAAGAGTGTGAGAGCAAGAAACTGTGGAATATGCTGGGTGGTTACAGGAAGGTGTAGAGAAGTGACTGCTGGTTTGGGAAGATTGTCACTCATCAGTGATCTGGTTAAGAGCAGTCTCAGAGACATGGAAGTGACAAAAGCCAAACTGAATTAAGTTAAATATGCTCTGGGAATTCCCTGGTGGTCCAGTGGTTAGGACTTGGCCCTCTCACTGCCGAGGGTCCAGGTTCAATCCCGGGTCGGGTAACTAAGATCCCATGCTGTGGCCAAAAAAAAAAAACAGCTAAATGTGCTCTGGGATGTGAGGAAGTAGAGACGGAAGAAAGCCAGAAGATTGGCTTTGCTGAGGAGCACAGTAATGGAGTCACGCCTAGGGTAGTACATGGGGCCAAAATTCACAAGTAAATATGTCTGTGGATGTTGACAACACAGTACATCAAACAACCTAGGTGGCCATCAGTACGGGAACAGCTGAACAGTTATACATTTATTCCACGGAATACCATGAATCAATTAAAAAGGATGAATAAAACAGATGTCCATTATATATTAATAATTTTTTAAAGCACCAAAACAATATTTGAAAAAAAGTAAAGGATGGGTGGATTGTGTCAATATCACAACTGTGTGATACTCAGTGTCACAACTGTATGATACTTAGTATCGCAACTGTGTCAACATTCTGAGTGTAGTATTTTACTATACAACATGTTACCTTCAGGGGTAAGTGTTAAAGCACATGGGATTTCTCTGTATTATTTCTCAAAACTACACGTGAGTCCACATCTCAAAATTTATAAGTTGAATACAAAAATATTTCCAGTATGTACATAATTGGGGTCTTTTTTCCTCCCACGCTGAACACTTACACCTCTTGCCATCAAAAATACTTTTTCACTTTGTAAATAAAACGAAGCATGGGTGGGATGGGGAATCCCATCCTGGCTTCCCCTGGCTATGGGGACAGACTCAGCTTTGAAGGTCTCCAGGCTCACCCCCGCCTCGGGGCTCCCCGGTCGCCTCCCTAGAAGTCTGGGAGAACTACAAATAGCTAACAGGGGCGGCCCCTCTAGCCCACCTCAGAGGTCCAAGTCTTGTTAGCCCAGAAGGTAACGCCGCTAGCTCTCCGAGCAGGACCCAGTTACGGAATTCTCGCCCTTTTCCGCTCAGCGAGGGGAAGGCTCTCTCTCTCCCACCCGTCTTCAGTTCCTTCAGACAGTCATGCCCTGGCGGAGCGTCCTCTGCTCCCAGCGCTCTCCTGGGAGAACGCCGCGCTCCCTCTCTTTGCTCCAAAGACCCAGAAGCTGTTTTAGGAAGACTGCAGCCGCGCTTTCCAGAGAGGGTGAGTCATTTCCGGTCACAGACTCCCTCCCCCGGAAGTAAGGCCTGATGTAAACAAGGGAGTGGGGCGGTAAGGCCCGGGAGGTCAGAAAGCCGGGCCGTGGGCGGCACCGAGAGCAGGGGACGCGCAGAGGTCAGGTCAGTGCAGGCGGCAGGGAGCTGGGGCATGGCCCAAGGATTGGTTGCGGTCTGGGGGACGGAGGGGTCTTTTCAGCAAGGGTCTTGGTGGATGGGGGTGTATCTAGGACAGGGATCTTGAGTAGGTGCTGGCACTGGACGGAGTATGAGGGTGGTCTTGGACATCAGTGGTGGTAGCGATGTGTGAGGCATCCCTGGGCAGGGTTCCTGGGTGGCAAGTATCTTTGGAATGGGGGGTCCCAAAAAAGGGATCTTGGAAGGTGGGGCTGTCTAAAGAATGGGCCTTTGGGGGCGAGGTGGTCCGGTGGAGGTGGTACAAGGGGGAAGGGAGGACGTTTGGAGTGTGGGAAGGGGTGTGCCTGGGCAAAGGTTTGGGGGAGATGGGGGTTTGAAGGGAGTATGGGGACTCTGGGACAAGAATATTAGGGGTGGTCCAGGGCAGGCATCTTGTGGGGGGGATTGAGTTGTCCCAGGTAGGGGTTTGGGGAAGTGTGTGTCCTGGGCAAGGGTTTTGAGAGGTTGGGGTGCCCTGGAGCAGGGTCTTGGGGAGACGATAGGGGGTCTGGAGGAGGAACCTTAGGGGGATGCAATTCCTGGGGGTACGTCCAAGCCAACCCATGTCAGAGTCAGGGACAGCAGAACACATGGAAGTGTATGTCCCAGGGGTGGGGGATTTGGAGTGATAAGGGAATCCTGAGGTAGGGTCTTTAGGGCATACAGGGGTCTGGGGGAAGTTCCAGGTTGTCCATGGTTGGACAGAAGTTAGCATGTCGTGAGAAGGGGTTGTGTGGAGGTGGGAATGGGGTCCTGAAGGGATTTCGGGAAGCCTGTGGGGAAGGAAGGTGTGAGAGAGCTCTGGAGTGGTAGAATAGGTTGGAGTAGAAGGACATGGCGGGGGAGTTCCTGTGAGCGGTGGACCAACTGTAGCAGGTCTCAGGGCCAGGTCAGGGAGGTGCAGGAAGAGGTGGATGTTTGAGCCCCCTTTCCCCATTTATTGACAGGCAGACGTAGGTGCTGGGTCCAGGTGTAAAGATGAGAAGTGGGTAGGGGGTGGTTCCAGGCCATGTTGGGCACTGGAGCCAGAATTGGCTGAGGGTAGAGAGGAGATATCACTGGGATACCCCCTACCCCATTATCTCTTGATAAGCAGTCAGTCAGGGAGGGAGTAAGGAGGAGGTGGGGATGTCCAGGTCAGGGTAGGCCGAGAGAGCTGGAGTCAACCAAGTGTAAGAAGATGTGAATGTTCCTGTCCATGCTCTTTGGGGTCTTGGGAGCTTAGAGTGGAAACCCTAGGATTCTCCCCCTGATTTTGTCTTCTTTGCAGTCCTGCTGGGGTTAGGTAGCAGAGTGGGAGGAGGAAGAAGAAATCAGTTGGGGACAGGAGTTCTAGGACTCAGAGAACAGACCCCAGGACTCTTCCCAACCCTACCCCCATTTGTGTCCAGGGAAGCAATCCTGGACCATGACTCAGCAGCCACTTCGAGGAGTGACCAGTCTGCGTTTCAACCAAGATCAAAGTGAGAGAGGCTTGTGCCTGGGCCCTTTTGGGAGGGAGGGAGGGAGAGAATGGCCAGAGGTGGGTGTTAAACCCCTAGCTTCCCACCTGGACATCCTTTGAGGCAGCCCGGATTCCTCCTGTCCCCAGGCTGCTTTTGCTGCGCTATGGAGACAGGTGTGCGCATCTACAACGTGGAGCCATTGATGGAGAAGGGGCATCTGGGTGAGCTGCTGGTGGGGGAGGGGCAATGGGCAGAAGGGATGGGCTGGGCATTGGCACCCACCCCTACTGACACCCTGGTCCTTGTCCAGACCATGAGCAGGTGGGCAGCATGGGCCTGGTGGAAATGCTGCACCGCTCCAACCTGCTGGCCCTGGTGGGCGGTGGTAGCAGCCCCAAGTTCTCAGAGATCTCAGGTAAGTGTCCTCATCCGGCTCCACCCTTGGCCCAGATTCCCCAGAATCCTAGCCTCCCGGAGGCTCTGGCAAATGAAGATGTCAGAGTAACTCAGAGTCACACAGTGAGGCCTACATCTTACAAGTCCTGGATCTTATTGCTTGAGAAGCTTGGTGTTTTGTCTTCATTTAACAGACACTTGTTGAATGCCTCCTGTATGCCATGTCCTTACCAATGGAGCGCTTGCTGTGAACCTGGTGCTGTTGTTACCACTTTACATGTATTAACTCATTTAATCCTCACAGTGACTCTGTGTGGTAGGAAGTATCATCATCCCCATTTTTGCAGATGAAGGAACTGAGGCCCAAAGAGGTTAAGTGATTTATCCAAGGTGACACAACTAATAGGTTTTAAAATCTTGGGGCTGTCTCCCTGGTGCCCTCTTGCTTTGAGTCTCAAGCACCATCTTATTTTAAGGGCTTTTGTTGATCCCACTGGGACATGGCAAAAGATGCCCTAGGATTCCTCACAGAAATCTTCTGGGGGGTATGAGCTGGGACCCTGGAGGCAGAAATAGTTACTGATGAGAAGTTACAGGCCTGGATGTGAGTCCCTGCTTGGTTGCTGATGGGTTGTGAGGTCCTTGGCTAGATAGAAAACCCCTTCGAGCCTCAGCTTCCTCATCTGTAAATGAGTATAACGGTTCTAGAACCTGTCTTCTCAGGAATCACATCTACAAGTGCTCATGCTGTGTGAGGTCATATTGGGTGTTAGCAAAAGGTTAAGCAAGTGGGTTGAGGTCCCATGGGGAGTAGGGGTAGGTCTTGTGTCAGCAGGGCTGCCCCTCACCCTAAACCTTGGCCCCGACAACACACCCACCTGCCCAGCAGTGCTGATCTGGGACGATGCCCGGGAGGGCAAGGACTCCAAGGACAAGCTGGTGCTGGAGTTCACCTTCACCAAGCCAGTGCTGGCTGTGCGCATGCGCCATGACAAGTGAGCCTGAGGTGGGCTGGGGGTGGGGGAGGTCGGAGGTCCCCACAGCAGGCTAGAGGGTTAGTCCTGCATGGGCACCCTGCCCTCCCCTCACGACCATCCTGTGTTGTGTGATGCCCACAGAATCGTGATCGTGCTGAAGAACCGCATCTATGTGTACTCCTTCCCCGACAATCCCCGAAAGCTGTTTGAGTTTGACACCCGGGACAACCCCAAGGGTGAGAGGACCCAGAGATGCAGGTGTAGTGGCAGGAGGCAGTGGATGGGGCAGAGGGGCAGAAATGAAGAGAGATAGAAAGGGGCACACAGAAAGTAACTGGGAAAGAGAGGCAGGGAGAGAGTCTTTGCATAGAGATGCTCCAATGGGCTGAGATGCCCATACTACCATTCTATCCATTTTCCCATCCTTAGCCAGTTCTCTCTCTCTACTCTCAGCCCCGCCTCACCCCTGGCTACCTCAGATAGCAGAGCAGAAAGGCTCATTAAGGACATTAATGGGTATGCCAGGGATTCCTGGGCCTCCCGGGGCTGCCACAGCTGCATAGGGAGGCAGGGAATCTGCCTTGATGGTGGGGAGCACACCTGAGGACAAGCCCCCTGTGGGTTCTGTGGGTAACATGTATCATGGAAGGTTGAAGTCCGGCCCTTATCCAGCTCTGTCCATCCTGAGACCCTGCCTGGCCCCAACGTCCTCTTTACCAGCCCCCTACCCCACCATAGGGCTCTGTGACCTCTGCCCCAGCCTGGAGAAACAACTGCTAGTGTTCCCAGGACACAAGTGCGGGAGCCTGCAACTTGTGGTGAGCTGTCCAGTGGGCAGGGGTGGGTAGGTGGGCTGGCTCTCCCTGTGGACTCTTGGCAACTTACCTCCTTACCACCTACCCCAAGCCCAAACTGCTCCTTCTACCATAGGACCTGGCAAGCACAAAGCCTGGCACCTCATCTGCTCCGTTTACCATCAATGCACATCAGAGCGACGTGGCCTGCGTGTCTCTGAACCAGCCAGGCACGGTAGTGGCCTCGGCCTCTCAGAAGGGCACCCTTATTCGCCTTTTTGATACGCAGTCCAAGGAGAAGCTGGTGGAGCTGCGCCGAGGCACTGACCCTGCCACCCTCTACTGGTGAGCACAGGGTATGCCTGGTGGGCTCCTGACCTCACACCACATGACATGGGCGTCACCGCTGGTTTGTCTTTCAGCATCAACTTCAGCCATGATTCTTCCTTCCTGTGTGCATCCAGTGATAAGGGCACAGTCCACATCTTTGCTCTCAAGGATACCCGCCTCAACCGCCGCTCTGCGTGAGTGCCTCCTGCCCCACCCTGCCTCACCCCCATCCCCCTGCCCATATATCACACCTGGGCTTAGCCAGTGTTGCCTGCAGGCTGGCTCGCGTGGGCAAGGTGGGGCCTATGATTGGGCAGTATGTGGACTCTCAGTGGAGCCTGGCAAGCTTCACCGTGCCTGCTGAGTCAGCCTGCATCTGTGCTTTTGGTCGCAACACTTCCAAGAATGTCAACTCTGTCATTGGTGAGTGGGAATAGCCCTTGACTGGGGGGTACTGCATGGGCGAAGGCCTACAAATTGGACCTGAAAGAATTTTAGGGCATGGGAGGCCTGAGGGAGCCAAACGGGTGGTTCACTTCCACCATCACTAAGGGAGATGGCACGTGGCAAAGACCTGGAGATAGACCCTGAGCCACGGGACACCTGAGAGGACTGGAGTGTGTGGCTTTGGCAGCATCTAACCTTTTCCAATCCTCCCCCCTCCTCCAGCCATCTGTGTAGATGGGACCTTCCACAAATATGTCTTCACTCCCGATGGAAATTGCAACAGAGAGGCTTTCGATGTGTACCTTGACATCTGTGATGACGATGACTTTTAAGGACCCTGTGGGTTGTGCTAGGGACCTGCAGTGGCAGACTGCAAAGCCTGTGCGGGGGTGGGAGTGCTGTGGAAGCCACCAGCCAGAAAACATTAATGGAGCAGGTGCCCACTTTCCACTCTTAAGAGCAATGCCTAAACAGCTCAGTCGCCCCAAGCACTTCTTGATGACTGTGTGCCCGCAGAGCCAGGCCAGGGACTCAGAGAGACAGCGGCCCCCCTGGGGCTCCCAGCCTGGAGAAGACTGCTAGGGACCCAGAGTGGGTGCCCTAATCCAACCTGTGGGGATTTTTAAAAGACTTCCCAGAAAGAGACGATCTCTGATATGATGAATGTGAATAAAAGGCCCTTAATAGTATTTATGGCTGGACCTCGGGAGTGGGGCCTGGAGGAGATGAGGCTGAAAAAGCCCTGCAGGAGTTTCCTGGAAAGGTGTGAACCTCTTGGACCCTGACAGGAAGGAAGTGGGATCCTGCTCGGGTCCTTCTGACAGTCTCTGCATGTCCTCTAATGTCTGGCCACTGTGTGCCAGAGACGCCAGCACGGCCCAGAACCGTCCCCGTGGCGCCCCCGCCTGGGGGTGGACGGGAATGCCTCACCCCACAGCGGAGACTTAATTTCCCAACGGCCCCTGCTACCTTGCAGTTCCGGCGTGTTGTTGGTATTTTCGGTCACGTGTGCTGCTGCGCCTGCTCAGTCCACTAGGTCGTCAGGGTAGTGGTTGCAGGGCCCAGACTCCGTTTCCCGGTGTGCCCCACGGTGGCGCGGTGTAGAACGGGTGTTGTAGTCCGGCCGCTCCTCTGACTGGTCCAGCTACATCGACCGGCAGGATGTCGGAGGTGCGGCTGCCACCGCTACGCGCCCTGGACGACTTCGTTCTGGGGTCGGCGCGTCTGGCGGCCCCGGATCCACGCGACCCGCAGCGATGGTGCCACCGCGTCATCAACAACCTTCTCTACTATCAAACCAACTACCTTATCTGCTTCGGCCTCGGTCTCGCTCTGGCCGGGTGAGGGAGGGAGGGAGGGAGGGAGGCGCAGGTTGGCTGGGGGCGCCCGCTGGGCATGGAGGGTGGACCCGCGGGATTTTGAGGGGGCTGCAAGACCTTGAAGGGCGAATTCAGTAGAGTGTGAAACTGAAGGGGAAACTGGGAGACAGAAGGCCTGGAAGAGGAATCTGAAAGGATTAACCTTTGCAAAGGGTGGGTTTAGGGGTAGGTTGGGATGGGGGGGGCCGACTGGAGTGGGTCCTGTGGGGGTAGGGGGAAGTGTGGACCTGAAGACAAGGAGGGCCCGAAAGTGGGACATGACTGTGCCTGAGGGGTGATGGGGCCAGATTAATATGGCCTTGGAGGACTTATGACAGGGACAGGACGTGGTCAAGTTGAAGGGTGGACTTGTGGAGGATCTGGGCTTGGAGAGGGGCCTGGCTATAATTGGAGTGCTCCAGGAGCAGGTACCTGTTGGGGAACTTGAGTCTAGAGGGAGGACCTGGGGATGGAAGACCTGAGACCAGGGAGGGATGGAGAACCTGGAAGAGGGATTTGGGCAGGACTGGAAGTTAAGTGGCACTGAAAGCCTGGAAGGGATTCTAGTAATGATGGAGGGAGGAATCTATAGGAAATGGGAATCTGGAGGGGGAATTTGAAGGGAAGTCTGGAAGGGACTCTGGGCCTGGGGAGAGGGAAATGTATGGAAACAGAAGGACTGGAAGAGGAATTTGCAAGGGCCGGGCCTTTGCAAAGAGTGGGTTTGGGGGCACGTTGGGATGGGGGGGCCGGCTGGAGTGGGTCCTGCAGGGGTAGGGTCGGAAGGAAAGAGAAGGGAAAGGCTGTGAGCCCTGGGGCCTAGCGGGATGGGAGGGCCCGAAGCAGGAGATCTCAGGAAGATGGGACTGTAGGATTGACAAGAAAGAAATGAGGGTCCACAGGGGAGCCCAGGGCTCCTGGGAGTTGGAATCCCTGAAGGGTGGACCTGTTGGAGACAGGGCTGACGGGAGTATTTGCCGGGCTGGAGGGTCTGGAGCGGGGACGGGGGGTGGGGGTGGGGGTGGGGGTGGGAACCAAAGCTCTTGGGGCACGGACTCTGGTGGACGGTGGTCTGGGAGGCACGGGGGCCAGGCGGCCCTCTCCCCGCCTGCCCGGCTAGCTTAGTTCCATTGTCCCCGCAGGTACGTGCGCCCGCTGCACACCCTCCTAAGCGCGCTGGTAGTGGCGGTGGCCCTTGGCATGCTGGTGTGGGCGGCTGAGACTCGAGCAGCCGTGCGCCGCTGCCGTCGCAGCCACCCAGCCGCCTGCCTGGCCGCAGTGCTTGCTGTCGGCCTCCTCGTTCTCTGGGCCGCGGGCGGCGCTTGCACCTTCCTGCTCAGCATCGCCGGGCCTATGCTTCGTGAGTCTCCACTACCCTGAGATGGCCGGGAAGACGGCCACCGCTCGCAAACGGCGCCGGGCCCGCCCTACCCTGGTTCCTGGGCTGAGAGGGGGCTGGGACACCCGGCGGGCAAGGCCACACCTCCTTTACAAAGCGCCTTCCCTGGCTTTGCTCCCCTCCCTGGGAACGCCCCTCCTACAACCGCCCTTCTGGGCGTCACTGCTAGTATGAAGTGCCTTCCACCGGCCACGTCCCCATTACTGGGCACCCTCCCTGGCCACGCCCCTGTTGCGAAGCGCATTACTCCGCCACACTAGCAGGGTTCAGAGGCGTCCTGACTACCGACCACGCCATTGGTCTGCCTGTGCTCCAGTTCCCTTCTCTGGGCCCCCATTAGCTAAAGGCTGATGTTCCATCCCACTGACCCCGCTCCTCTCGGTATTGCCCACAGTGATCCTGGTGCACGCGTCACTGCGCCTGCGCAACCTCAAGAACAAGATTGAGAACCAGATCGAGAGCATTGGTCTCAAGCGGACGCCAATGGGGTTGCTGCTGGAGGCGCTGGGACAAGAACAGGAGGCTGGATCCTAGGGCCCTGGGATCTGTACCTAAGACATGGAGAATGCCATCCCCACCCTGGCCCAGACCCAGAGCCCTTTCCCAGTCCTTAAAATAGGAGCCCCTGCCCAGTTCATAAAACAGGACAACTGCAACCCTTCCCCCAGGTCCCAAACTGGGATATTCCCTCATACCCAGCCCCCCAGTTTAGGAAACCAGAGTCTTCCCAGTCCTGAACTTGGGAACCAGAGACACCCACGTCCAGCCCAAAACTGGGGCTTGGAGACCAGAGCATCCATGGCCAACATCAAACTCTGGGCCCAGAGACACTCCCCCTCAACCCCAATCTGGGACCCACCTATCTCCCACGCTCAGCCCCAAAGCTGGGGACTGGGACCAAGGCATTCTCAGATCTTGAACCCTGGACCAAGGCTCTTCCAGACCCCACCCCAGCTTTGAACCCAGGATCCAAGTGTTCTCAGCCCCCATCTGGGTGGAGGATTCAGGTATCCTGACCCAGTTGAACCCTTGGTCCCAGGTGACCCCAACACTCACCAGTCCCACTTGCCTCCCTCCAGCTCTGCTTACAGATTCTGCCACTTCCCAGCCCACCCCCCACAAAGTTCCACAGTGACAAGGACCAAGGAGTGGGAGGGGGTGGGGTGGGGTGCGGGTAGCCCTGACCAGGAATGGGGCATATATATCAGTGTTGCTACAACAATAAAGGCTGTTGCATTGCTCAAGCCAATTTGGGCCTCCTGGGTAAAGTCTGTGTGTTTCAATGGCCAGAAGTGACCTGATTTTCAACTCTACTAGAGACTTTCTGACTGGGTCCCTGTCAAATATGTGGGCTGAAGGAGGAGCTCTCAGTTCCTTTCTTGAACCTATTACCTCTAGGGTGGCATTAACACACAAGGGAGTTAAGGGCACCGAGTGTTTGCTGCCAGCATTTGTATTACTAAGGGCTCTTGGCTAGGAATCTGAGCACGGACAGGCAAAGAAGTTGCCCCACATCACAAAGCAAGTAAAACCAAAGCAGATGACATTATCACAGGCTGTTTCCATGGTGCTATATATTTTTTTCTTGTAAAAATACATTATCTAGTCTTAGCTAAAGATGTGGGCCCCCAAGGCAAGGCAGACAGGGAAGCAATGCATGGGTTCAGTTTACACATTTATTATAGAAATCCCCTTCCAGTGTGGGTAGTGTCTTGGGCCCAGATCCATTAGTACAAAAAGAAAAGTTTAACACTAGGTAAAGGGGGTAGGGGAACCCCCAGCTCCAGAAAGCCACAGACAGGTATCATAGAAAACACAGCTTATGTGGATTTGTTTAAAAAGTGGTGGATGGAAGGAAAGCCAAGGAAGGTGTGACATAACCCGTGGCGAGACGTCACTTGAGGATTTCATTGGCATCTACCAGACGCCAGGTTCCACCACCGCCACATCCCAGGACACAACACACCCAATGGTTTTGCCCTTTGGTCCTCCTGCGGGGCCTCCTGATTGGGGATAGTTGGGGCAGAGGAGGCTGCCGCCAAAGGCTGGGTCGTCTCACTCTGTGGGCAGAGGCAGCGGGCACAGACAGGCAGACAGGGACTGGGGCGCCTTCAGGCACCCTGGGGGAGAGAAAATGAACACAAGCCCCCCACCCAGACTTCAGTCCTTCCAAATGTGGGCAGAGACTTCATTCCTTCCAAATGTGGGCAGCTCCCCAAGAAAAACTGCCCCAGTGGGGGGTGGCAGGGAGTTCTGTTCACACCGGAGTCTCCTGGCTGCCCCAAACTGGGCCCTGAGACCCTATATGGTTCATTTTGTGGAGGGGGCTCCTGAATGGAACAGGCTGGTCATGGGGACAGGAATGAACCCAACCAGGACGAGATCACAGTTTCCTTTTTTATAAAACGTCTAGTGTTGAGGGAAGACAGTGAATACCTAGATCACAACTGTAAACAGAAATGGAGGAAGGGGCTTGGAGTCCCCATTACATCATCCCCTCTCCTTTCTTTTAAGCTGGCGGAGGGCCCCCAGTCCCCAGCACAGCGTGAGAGGAGACACAGGGTGTCAGACACCTTCGTGGGCCCACGGGGAGCCAGGGGCCTTGGAAGATCACATTGGTGCCCCCCAGGACCGAGAGCAGCCACACCCCAGGGCTCAGCGAGGTCAGCTGTGTGCTCCCCAGACTGAAGTCATACCCAGGCCAACAAGGGGCATGTGAGAAGGGGTCAGACCAGTGTCCCCGGGGTCTGGGGGTCAGAACTGGAGGACTGCTCCCCCTGTAGCGTCAGGTCACTTAAACGAGCGCTCAGCTCCTGGGGGTACAGGAAGTCCGCGTAGTATCTTTAGAAGGGGTAGCAGGAATCCGGAGGACAGGGTGGGAAGACAGAGGAGAGAGGAAAAGACAGACAAGACACAGAAAGAGAGAGGAAAAGAGGCTCGTTAAAGAGGTGGAGGCAGGCACAGGACAGCACCTTTAGTCTCTCAAGCATGGGGCATGGTGAAAAGAGGAAGAAAAAGGCAAGGGGCACAGGACGTCCCTTCCTCCCAGCACCCTAGTTTCAAGGCTCATTTTCAGCTGACATGCACTGGTTGTTCAAATATTAAAATTCTTGTATTAGCTTGGTGAAGAACTGCTGCTACCAGGACCCAAGATACCCCTCCACCGAGACCCCACGGACTAATGCGAGTCAGGCAAGGCCCAGTGAGCCCGGGCCAAGGCTGCAGCTACTTCTCTCGTGGTCCATGTCATTAGCTACCATGACTAGCTGGATCCCTGGCCTGGACACCTTTGACATCTGCCTCAAGAGACCCCTACCCATCAGTAAAAGCAACCCCCATACCTGCCGGAGACAGGGGGCGCCGTGAAACTCCTTGAGTGCGGGAGTAGCGCCTGGCTGGGGGCCCCATACAGCGCCTGGCCCACCTCATAGCAGCGGGCATGGAGGAAGGGCGGGTGCTGCGGGCCCATGTGGGGGAGCCCAGGCCGGCGCTGGGGCCCTGTGGCCAGTCCCGAGTTCCGGATGTACCAGTCCCGCAGCCCCTCCAGGGCAAGGTTCTTGTGGCCACTGCGCTCACCAGCTGGGGGGATACGGGAGGGTGGGGGCATCCACAGCAGAGGGTTGGGATGCACCTCTGGGCCCTCAGTGGCCTCCAGGGGCAGGCCACAGGGCTTGGTGCGGGTGGCACGGCTGTGGGGGTCCTTGCTGCGGAGGAGGGGGCTGCTGCCGTCAGCTGCATACACAGGTGGTGGGCCTGGGAGCATGGTGAGGAGCCCATCCCGGCGAGAGAGGGGTCCTGGGACCTCAGCTGTGGGCAGCAGCTCCCCCCAGCCTGTCCCGCCGCCACCGCGGGGCAGGCCCCGGTCCAGGGAGTAGTCCAAGAGGAAGTCCCCACACACAGGTGGGAGCCGGGGGACCCCGCGGGAGGCAGGGGCGGCTGAGCTGGGCCGGGCAGCCCGGGGAGGGTCTGGGGGGCCAGCCGTGCGGGAGGAGAAGGCAGGAGTTGGTTGGGGACGCTCATATAGCACCTCACTGCTCTTGCAGACTGGGGGACCAGCGGCAGGGGGAACCAGAGGTGCAGGCGGGGAGCCAGCTCCCCCACTAGCTGCCCTGTCCACCAGCAGGGCCTCGGAGCTATTGCTGCGGCGGGTGCGAGCTGCGAAGAGGGAGGCACGGTCGGAGACAGGGTCCGCCCGGGGGAAGCCCATCTGGGAGTCCTGGCTGCCGGACCACTGGCGAGAATGGAGGCCTTCAGGTCTGGGGGCGCAGAGGTGGGGGTGATGGGAGAAGGGTCAGAAATATCAGGGAGATGGGATGAGTGCCCTCCCTATCCTGCCTCTCTCTGAGCCTTCACCTCCACACCTCCAAAATGGGCCCAGGATTAGAAGCTGTGTGTATAAAGGTGAAAGGTAGTGGCATGTAAAGAGCAGCAGAGGTTCTGCCACGGACTGGGGAGCCGAGGGGTTAAAAATGTACGGGGGTGCCTGGGACTGTTAGCTCAGAGGGAGATGTAAGTGTGTGTAGGGCTCAAGAGGAAATGCTAGCAGGGGAGGGCGGAGGGCTCTTCCTAACACATCTGACCCCTCATCCCCTGCTAAGGTGCTTCTCAGGGCTCCCCGCCTCCTCTAACATGAGGTCCTAAACCTTAGGCCAGGAATTCAAGACCCTTCCTGAATTCTCTGTCCCATCATGTGTATGAACCACCCAAAACTATCATCCCAACAGCCACTATTCACAGAATGCAAGTGTCACAAGAATGGGGACTTTGTTTTGTTCACAGCCCGGAAAAAGTAGGCACTTAGTAAGTACATATTTGTTTAAGAGGTAGTAAGAGTACCATGGTTAAAAGCATGGACTCTTGAGTCAAACTTGCCTGGGTTCAAATACCAGGTCTTCAGTTTACTAGCAAGTTACTTAACCTCTCTGTGTCTCAGTTTCCTCATCTCTAAAATGGGAATAATAATAGCACCTACCTCACAGGGATGTTGTGACAATTAAATGAGTTTGATACCAAGTAGAGCACTGATTCCTAGCAGATGGTAGGTACGTGGTACATGTTAACCAGAACTCATTTATGCCTACAGTATCTTCCACAGGCAGATATTATTATCCCCATTTCACAAATGAGGAGACAAAGATTCAGAGAAGGGAAATGACTTGCCCAAAATGCACAGAAAAGCTCATTCTCAAACTTTGGTGCTTCTGCCCCAGATCCCCACCCCCTTCTCCAGCAAGACAACTCCTATTCACCTTTCAAAACCCAGCCTTTCTTTTCTTCTCACTTTTTTTTTTTGGTCAATTAAAAAAATTTTATTTATAATATGATATGACACATATACACATATGGCATATTCCAAAAGATATTTAACCTATATTTCTTTATCATGCAATAGGGTGCACTATGAAAAGAAGTTCTGAAACAAAAATAAAATTCTTGCATTTTCATACAACCTACATAGAAGATCAGAATAAAACTGATAGATTCAAAGCCCAGTCTTTCATGTCCCACACCCTTTGATAATGCTCTCCCCAACACGCCCAGTTAGAACTACCGGTTCCCTCCTCTGGTCTTCAATCTCACCCTCAGAGTCCACTTACTTGCAGAGCTGGGGGCCAGCGCCCCGGGTGAGGACAGGGGTGGCAGGCACACTTCGCCCCTCAAAACTGGAGGCACTCCTGGGCAGCGAGCGTGTGGGGCTAGACAGAGACGAGCAGGCATAGGTGGGGGTCCAGGTTAGAGACTGTACCTAGCAGCAGGCCCTCCTGCCAGCCCAGGCTCAGCTCCCACTCCTGGCTCCTGGGGAAGGAGGGGAGGGGCTCACCCTCACCTGGTGGGGCTGGCCACAGAGTTCCGCCGGCTCTTCAGATCCCCATAAAGATCTGACGGGGGTGGTTTCCAAGGGGTTCGCCACTCAGGGCTGCCCCCAGATACTGCCCGCAGCTGGTCCCAGGCCTTCGGTGGTGAAGGGCGCTCAGCCAGAGGGAAGCAGCCACGGGGCTCCTCTGAGTGGAAGGGAGAAAGTGGGGGAGAATTCAATGGGAGGGTGCCTGAAGGGTTGTGGGCAAAGCAAAGGGCAGGGGCTAGGGAGGTAGGGAGGGGCAGAGGGCTAAGCAGGTAGGACAGGCTGAGGAAGAGCTAAGGGATGAGGCAGGAACTGGGGCTGATGGGGTGGGGTGGGGGGACTGAAGCAAAGAAAATGGGGCCTCCACTGGAGGATGGGTCATGGCTAAAGAGGAGCTGAAGAG